TGTGTGTGTGTGTGTGTGTGGTCTGGGGATTGAATCCATGGCCTTAGTACATGCAAGTCAAACACTCTACCAACTGAGTTATATACCCAGCCCAACATTTTAGGTTTATTTGTGTCTCCTAGAAGTTCATTCTTTGGTAGTGATATTTGTCATCAGTGTGAGCTTCAGCTGGAGTGCTTTTGATTCTCAGCCCTTTGGCATTTGGCTGAAGGGTGAATTAAGCGCATCTCTAGAAGAGGCATACCGGGGTATAAAATATGCAAAAAGGCAAAATTAATTCCAGCTGATGGCTTAGGGAAATTTGAAGAAGAAATAAACATTTGAGTTGAACGTGAAACACAAGGAGGCATTTAACAGGCAGAGATGGGGTGATGGAGAAGGGCATTTCAGGTCACAAAAATTGCTTAAACTCTTTCTATAAAATTGTGTACCCAGACATGGTGTCTTAGCCAACCTTTCTCTTCAACTCCAAGTCCCCATAATAAAACCTTTACCATTTAATTTCAAGTTTATGTCTACAGCTTGAGTGTTCTCAACTGTCCTATAAAATACATGTTTTTACAAATAACAACAAAAAAAAAGAAACATAGTATAACAAGGACACTATTTCCTGAAGGAACCATTTGATAACAAGAAAATTGCCACTGGCATTAATTTGCATATGATGATTCAGTGTGACACATGCTCTATGAGTTACACTGGCTGGCAGCTTTAAGATAACACTAATTAGGGCTTGAAATAAATTGGTAGAGTTAAGTGTCATTTTATCTATCAATCACTTTCACTTAAGGAAACCCTGTAAACCATGCTATGATTTGGATATGGAATGTCCCCAAAGGCTCATATGTTGAAGGCTTAGGCCCCAATGCAGCAATGGTCAGAGCTGGGGCTTTTAGGAGGTGACTGACTCCTGTGGACACTGACCTCATCAAAGGATTATCCATCCCGGCAGAATGGACTATGGAGAGGTAGTGGAAACTATAGGAGGTGGGACCTAATTGAAGGAATTTTATCTTTTGGTGTCTTGTCCCCAGGCTCCTCTCCTCCCCTTCTCTGTCTCTCTGTCTCTGTCTGCTCCCTACACACACACACACACACACACACACACACACACACACACTTCTTGGCTGCCATGAAGTAAGCAGCTTTCCTCCATGATATTCTGCCTCTTCTTAGGCCCAAAGCAAAGGAACCAGCTGACCATGGTCTGAAACCTCTGAATTGTGAGCCAAAGTAAATCTTCTCTCCTTTAAGTTGTTTTGCTCAGGTATTTTAGTCACCTTAACAAAAAGTTGTTTAACACAACTAAGAACCATGCTCTGTTCTTATTCAAATATTTTACCTAAAGGTTTCAGATATTCTCTTTTGTACACTGAAACYGTTTTCCATTACTTGATGTGAGAAGTGCAGAAGTAGATACCATACCACTTGTATTTCAGAGTATCATCATTCTTTGATCAGGCACTGTAGAAGTAAAGTAGGTAACAAACAAACCTAATTTCCAATRGCTTTTTCTTACATTATAAGGTCAACTCCTGTATTTGGTTGAAGCTTTGACTCACATGCCTTCTTATTCTAGGACTCGGGCAGAAGGTYCAGCCTCTGCGGAGAACATGTTTTGTCTCATAGTGTAGGGAAAGAATAGGTACCCTAGTGAGAAACAGCAATTACTTTTTTTAAAATTTCTTTTAGAAACTGGTGTTTATTTTCCATACCCTTATTTYCATTTTGCTTAAGTGTCTGAAGAAGAACATCTCAAGTCCACTTGGTGGTGGTTCTTACCCACTTCATGTCCCAAACAGTAGGAGGTGTGGACTAGCTTGGTGCTCAGGTCTTCAGCAGAGAACTGCTGAATAGGCACAAAGGGCACCTTGCATGCCTCCAGACCAGTCTGTGACCTCAGGTTGGGCATCAGTGAACTCAGGAGCCGAAGTTGTCCRTGTACCATGTAATTCCTCCTTAGTCACAGCTTTTTCAGCAGTGGCCTGCTTGCCCTTTTCGATCTCTTCAGGATTTCTGTACAAGTACAGATCAGGCATGACCTCCCATGGGTGTTCATTGAGGATGTTGTCACATGTGAGCAGAACGTCTTGGGCCAGCATCCACCACATCAGACCACAGAGTCAGCACCCTTGTTATTGTGCAGAATGGCAATGTCCACAAAATATGGAGGAGAATCTCCATTCAGAGCAATGGTAGGCAGGTTGATGTTCTGTGAGAAGCTGGGGGTAGGCCCTGGAATCAGTAACTATCAGAATATGTGGATTCCACAAGGCTGTCTGGATCTGATTAGTGCAGTCCCAGGAGTGAAGCACCAATAGGAGTTGGAGTGGCAAACTCAGCACAGCCAGCGGGCTATTATTCCTGGGAGGATATGACACTGATGGCAGCAGGTTTTCAATGGCAACAATGGTATAAACTGCCAGTAAAAGCTTCTCCCAGGTCTTCTTCAGACTTATGAAGTATATGCCATTGATTTTCTTTTTTAGAATATGTACTCTTCCATCTGGAAATGCAAGGAATTTGAGGATATCCTCCTCTTTCATTTGCAGGATGTCAAGGGCTCCAGACATTGTGACAGTGTCCCTTTAAGTTATAATGGGAATCAAGAGCAGTGCCACCAGAGGGACCTCTTCCTGGGTAGCACAAAAAGACCAGCAATCATTCTTAAAGCTTCTACTCAGAATGATCCTACTGTCACTTCCACTTACATTTCAGTGGCTAAAGCAAGGTTTGAGATTATGATAAGACATTTGTTTAAAAGAGGGAAGGTAAAACCTATCATTAGGTGAGCCAAGCCTGAAAATGCCAAAAAGGGCAGTGCTGCAAGCCACATAGCAGTGGGTAGAGATGCCAGTTCCTCGAGAAAGCAAATATTTGGAAACAGTTTTTTAATGTATCAATGGCATTTAGTAGTCTTACCACTTATTTGTGTAAATAAAAATTCAGGTTTTTCCTTTTCTTCTTCAAGAGTTGTATTTTCTAACTATAGTTAACAGTGGGCAAGAATGTTTTCTCTGATATAAGGAGGTTGACTCATAGTGGAGTAGGGAGGGAGAGCATGGGAGGAACAGATGAATTCTAGATAGGGAAGAGGGGTGGGAGGGAAAGGGAGGGGGCAGGGGATTAACAAGGATGGTGGAATGTGATGGACATCATTATACAAAGTACACGTATGAAGACTTAAATTGGGTGTCAACATACTTTATATACAAACAAACATTCATCACATCCATTCAGAGTACCATTTTCCCCGAAATGTATTAGGGAATTTTTTTTCATGTTCCTTGAACGTGGTCACATATTATCTTATTTAAAACAATTTGGTGAGATTTAGGAGACACATCAGTCTAACCAGCAGTACAAGGCATGCTAGAATTTAAGTAAGAATACCTGTGTTTCATTTCTGGATCTACAGTTAATTATTGGCTATGTGATTTTTTTAGAAATTATTTAACTTTTTTGAGTTAGTTTTCCCATTTGTAGGAATGGAGGATACTAATTTATTCTTTGTAGGATAGTTTTGAGGATTCAATGAGATGCTATAGATACTGRTACCCTGCTTGGTATCTGTTAAGTATTCAATAAATCTTAGGTGAACCTGAACTCTGTAGGAAATTACTTTCAGAAAGCTATTATCTCCAGGAAGGTTTAAAAAACTGATTCATATTAAGATGTTATAGAAAATAAGATCTATGGCTACAAAATTGAACGCCAAGTCTTCTATGAGTATTTACTACAAGGGTTTTTTCTTAAAAACCCAAATCATCAGGGATCTTCATTGTTGGAATTAGTGGATGCCAACTGCATGAAATTCCAAAGTGTTTACTTAACCCAGGGTAAACCCCGCTCTGAGGAGAAGTAGATGCCAGGAAGAGATTTAACCATTAGGCAACTCCCATACACTGGGTGTACCTGAAATGTACTGCAGCAGGCACTTCAGTCCTCATCTTGGTTGACTGCATTCTTGAAAGGTGTATGAAAACTGAGCATCACTCTTGGTGATTGTCTACTCCTGAAGTAGGTGTAATCCGCCCCAATCCTCTATTATGAACTGTTGCTTCAACCCAACTCCACTGCCTGTTGTAGAATTTGAAGCTGGAATGGGAGGATGGGATGGGGCAGAAACTGCCTAGGAAGATAGTGGTCACAGCTGCGACATTATTTGCATGTCTAAGGACATTATTTGCATGTCTAAGGGTGACCACGCCCTTGAGATGACCAGATTTATGACCCTTTAGGGCCTCAGCTTCTATTTGTTTTGTTTACTTTTCCATCAGTCTTTCATGACAAGTTTAAAGAACTGATGTCAAGTCCTTGCATTAGTTACCAAGGGTACAACAGAAGCCCTGCCATGAGTGCCTCCTTATGAAAGGTCAAAGTGAAAAGGGAATCTATTACCAAAAAAGCCTCTAGGTGCGGTTTCTAGCTTCCAGAGGGTTGAGAGTTGGTACTTCCACGAATGGAAAGCATTGTCTCACACTGGGCTACGCCTGGGTATCCACAGCGGTTTCCAACGCTCTGACCCATTGTAAAGACCAGGGTCTAAGCAGAGCCTCGCCCTTCTCGCTTGAACTACAATTCCCAGGATGCTCCGCGAACCAGGAGTGCGCACGCGTGTCGCTGGCGGAGGGGAACCAGCCGCACCGACAGCGCGGTCGAGTTGGGGGAGCAGTGGGCGGGTGGGTCCGGCAACTCCCTCGGAGTCAGGCGCAGGCCGACTGGCGGCTGCAGAGAATCCAACAGCGGCGTGCGGAGGCAGTTCTCGCGGGTCCGTGAAGGAGGTTGACAGCTCCAGCGGACGCCTGTCAGGTAAGCCTAGCCCGGTGCTTTCCAGGAAGTCCGTCTGCGGGCGCGGCAGGGAGTCGCACCGGCCATGGTGGCTGAAGAGGGAAAGGTTGTGTTTTCCAGTCGCAGGTCTCCAGTTTCCTTCCCTACGTACCCCTTTCGGGGAGCAGAGGGACGCTGGGGGCTGCTTCGAACCAACTGACCGCTGTAGGGTGGTGGGGTGCGCTGGGCGTCGCCCGCGGGTTGAGGCGCGCGAAGCCCGAGTAGCTGATGAATCACTCCGGGCTCGGCCTCCTCCGGTTGGGGACCTGCCCCTTCTCCCGCGGAGCTGTCGCTGGCCACTCGGTGACGCTCTTGAGCCCCACGGTGCTTCCCCCCCACCCCTCTCCATCCGGGCGAGACTTGGGGACTAGAAATTTAAAGGGTTTTCTCTCCAAGACTCCTTCAAAGACTTCTGCTTGTTGAAAATAGGAGGAAAAACAAAAATCAGACAGACTTGGGGCACACCCTTTTGTGATTGAAATCTGGCTCGTCTTGCAATCATAGTTTTGATCTGTTCTGTCTTAGAATAAATTCTTGGCTCTCGTGCAGCACAGCTGGGTCCGGCTGTGAAGTTCGTGTGCTGGTTTGTTTTGAGGACGTGACTGAAACGTTATATTTTTGCTTACAGAAGTTGGTGTATTTCTTCCGCAAGCCTGCATTCTGATTACAAACAGAAATGGGAAACAGCCGCAATGTCTTTTTTTCCTCCTAATTTCTTTCCTTTTTTTTTTAATGTTTAGTTAAAAATAGCGTTTCAACTTGCTCTTGTCTTTTCTTAAAATCAAAAGTCATGCAGTAAAACTTATCCCAGGAAGTCACATTTAAAGAGGAAATAAACCTGTGGAGATTTAAATTACTTATGTGCAGTCTCCTTTGGATTGTAACGTTTTCGTGCAGCTCGTGTTTCTTATTCTGAGAACCCTTCAGATTAAGTTTTTGGCAGATTAAATTGATTAATGAATTGGCCTATCAAAAATTTATATTAGTCTTGGAAAAAGTTTTGCCCGGGCTCACTTTTGTTAGTTTCTTCTTTCTAATCCTACTAACCTAGCCCTGCCAATACATGCATACTGGAGATTGAATCCAGGGGCACTCTACTACTAAGTTACATACCCAGCCTTTTTTTTTAGTTCTATTTTGAGACTGGGTCTCACCAAATTGCCCAGGTTGATTTTGAACTTGATATCCTCCAGCCTCAGCCTTCCCAGTCTCTTATGGGCTTGTGCCACCTAGTTGGGAGCCTAAGCACCTTTTACCCTGTCACTTCTTTAAGAGCCCACAGTCTAATTAAAATAATTAGAATCCCCTAACAGTCCTTTCAGAGGAACAAAAAGGGAATTAAAATGTGAGTTCCTGTACATTCTAGCTTTTTTTTGTTGTTGTTAATATTTATTTTTTAGTTGTAGTTGGACACAATACTTTTATTTTATTTATTTATTTTTATGTGGTGCTGAGTATTGAACCCAGGGCCTGGGTGCTAGGCAAGCGCTCTACTGCTGAGCCACAACCCCAAGCCCTTCTTGTAGCTTTCTTGCTTTAGCACTCCTCAGGATTTCTAGCTTGTTCTTCTTTATTGATTTATTTATTTTTTTGGTACTAGGGTTTGAACCCAGGGTGCTCAACCACTGAGCTAACATCCCCACTCCACCCCCCTTTTTTAAAAAAAAAATTATTTTGACAAAGGGTCTGGCCAAATTGTTTAGGGTTTTACTAAATTGCGGAGGCTGATTTTGGACTTATGATCCTTCCACCTCAGCCTCCCAGTCTGCTGGGATTACAGGCCTGCCCCACCACACCCAGCTTGTTCATCTTTAAAATGAGTTTAATGGTCCATATGACCCCACAATTATCCCCAGGTTTTTGTTTTTGTTTTATTATTATTTTTTAACCAAGAATTTAACCCACGAGCGCTTTACCATTGAGCTACATTCCCAGCCCTTTTTGTTTTTTACCTTGAGACAGGTCCTCACAAAGTTACTTAGAGCCTCACCAAATATTAGAGGATGACTTCAAACTTGCCATCATCCTGTCTTAGCCTCCTGAGCTGCTGAGGTTACAGGCATGCACCACCAAGTCCAGCCCATCCCAGCCTTTTTAGATTTTTTAAAAAATCATTTATTTTATTAATTCAGGAAACCTTGGCCACATATATCATTCCAAGCCCTGTACTAGGCATGACAGAACAAAATTGAGTCTTGAGGATGCTATTAACCTACTGTTCATTTTCTTTAATCTTTGTGGTAGACCAATAGGCCCATTACTCTGTAATTGATAACTTCACCTGAAGTTAAATACATATAGATCAAATTACAATTATTATTTCGCTCTAAGCAAAGGTTTTTGGAGGGGCTGAAGATGTAACTCAGTTATACAACACTTGTCTAGCATACATGAGGCCTTGGGTTTGATTCCAGAAATGCTAAAAAAAAAAAAAAGATTCTTTCCACCTCTCATCTTTTGGCCCACTTAAATAAAACACAGATTGATTAAGAGAAAGGATCTTAATGGTATAGGGAGGTGTTTTCAAACTTGAGAATGCATACATCATCCAGGATCATGTACTATTAAAGTGGGACCCTAGAATCTGTGTATTTGATAGGTGATGCTGCTAAAGACCACACTTTGAATAATCAGAATGTTGAGATAATTTTAAAGATATTTTAAGGTGTTTATAATGATAATTTAAAGACTGGTGCTGATAATTATGATATTAGAAACATCCATGACTTTTCCAACTCAGTTTTTAAAAATTATTCACTCTGATATAGACAATTGCCAGTGTAAAGTTTTGTTCTTCATTCTTTGTCCTTTTTCCTCCTCTTGCCCCACTTGCCTTCTTTCTGTATTCTCAGTTTTTTCCCCCCTCCTTGTCTTGCACCCTCAGTTGTTTTCACTCATATTAACTCAGTACTTCACCAGTTCAACAAATGTGTTTTACCCCAATCTGTCAGACACTGTCTTTAGGTCCTTGGTGAATGTGTGTGTGTGTGTGTGTGTGTGTGTGTGTGTGTGTAATATGAATACATATATATTCATATTATATCACATATATAATATGATTCCTGTCTGGGAGCTTATTTTCTTTCGGGTTAGGCATGTATGCTTGTTCATAGTCCAAAGCACTTGTAGGAGTTATTCCTAGGAAGTACAAAAGTATGGTATGGTAGGTGTTCATTCAGGAGAGATCTTTTCCAGTTGTGTGGGTGGGGAACAAATGAAGTCAGTCTTTTCCATTTAGTAATTGTCTCTATTCCTTCAGGCTACCTTCTCTATATACTGTTAGTGTACATGACATATCTACACAGAGTACAGTATAATTTTGTGTATTTAATTTGAAACCTGAAATGAGCTGGATACATTAAAATCAATTAGATCTGAGCAAATTATAGGGAAGGTGAGAGGAAGTTGGGATAAAAATATATCTGGCAGAAACCAGTAAAGGAAGGGGACAGCTTCAATAAGCCAGGAGAGAAAAGGATTTTTAATAGGTTTCCCATGTCAGTTTGATGTACATGGCTATTGTTATTTAGGCTGTGTTATCATTATCTTTTAAAAATTAAATTAGCTGGCAAGTATTCTTTGTGGTTCAGTGGCTCTTAAAGTATAATATGCATGTATTGTCTTGATTAGATTAGTTGAGGGCATTATTCTCTAGGCTGTGATAATGGCTAAAGCACTGTCACTGTTATTGATCTTCTATGCTGACATTTGATTTATGTGTCTTTTCAGTTTTCTGTCAGATCTTTTAAAATTACAAGTAAAAAAATCGTATTGCAAGGAAAATGATACAGAAAACAGAAAATTCCACTGAACTTATAAYGGTCCATTAGGTACATGTTATAAAGAATCAAGTCCAATTTGCTATTTATGAAAAATTAAATATATAAATATACACCCTTTTTAAAAAWWTTTTTTTTAGTTGTTGATAGATCTTTATTTTACTTAATATGTGGTGCTGAGAACCAAACCCAGTGTCTCACACATGCCAGGCAAGTGCGCTCCCCCTGAGCCTCAGTCCCAGCCCTAAACATCTGCCTCTGTACTCTATTAATAGTTTTTATAGGAATGAAGGAATAGAGTTGTGAATAATTCAAAGTGGCAAATAATTGAAAGTGCCTGTGTGGTATTCTAGAATTTCATTTGAAACAAAATTTTAACCTATATCTTAAAGTAGAGTACTACTCTGTATTTTTAGTTTTTTCAAATTTATATATATTTTTTCTTTTCATGTGCCAAGCCTCAAACCCGGAGCCAGTTAAGGGCCTTATCATTTTGCCATATCTCAGTCCATAATTTGTAGTAGTTATTGAGATATAATTAACACAGTTTATGTGGAAAGCAGTTTGGAGATGCCTCAGAAAACTTGGAGTGGATCCACCATTTGACTCAGCTATCCCACTCCTTGGTTTATACCCAAAGGACTTAAAAGCAGCATACTATAGTGATGCAGCCACATCAATGTTTACAGCAAACTCAATTCACAATAGCTAAACTATGGAAACAACCTAGGTGCTCTTCAACAGATGAATGAATAAAGAAAATGTGATACATATACACAATGGAATATTAGCCTTAAAGAAGAATGAAATTATGGCATTTGCAGGTAAATGGATAGAACTAGAGAATATCATGCTAAGTGAAATAAGCCAACCCCCCAAAAACAAAAGCCGAATATTTTCTCTGATAATTGGATGCTGATCCATAGTGGGGCAGGAGTGGCAGGGATAGGGAAGAATAAAGGAACTTTGGTTTGAGTAGAAGGGAATAAGGGGTGGGGCTGTGGGAATGAGAAGGATGCTAGAATGAGATAGACGTTATTACCCTATATACAGGTATATGCTACCACACCCATCTTGACCCTCCCTTCTCTAAAGCAACTACTTTCTGACTATGAATTTCAGATACCGTAGATTTGTTTTGTCTAGTCACAGACTTCACATAAGTGGAATCATACAGTATGTGTTTTTTTTTAATAAACATTA